TGCTGAGCTAAGCACGCTGAAATTTTCATGGATTAGTGCTCACTGTTGCACATGGATCGGTGTGCTGGTATGGAGTCTCATGGTTGTTTTGATCGACTGTTTTTTCTTTCATTTTCTGCATTGATTTGGAATTATATTTTGAAGAATAATCTTTGTTATATATTCAGACTTGTTCTTTGATCCACAGCATAGTGTCTGGGTGTCTTTGGACCACCCATCAGATGGGCTAGAGATTCTTTCAGGACAGATCAGTTCAGGTTGTCTGGAAGGGCTCCCATTCACTGGGGGAGCATTGGGAGGAGAGCGTTGGTTTCAGGACTGAAACGTGCTGGGGAGCTTTTGCTTTTTGGTGAATGGCATCTGTCACATCTGGTGTTGTGAACATGTGGTGGTGGCATCTGGGGATCTGGTCTGAAGAGCAGATCTATTGTTAAAGGATCCTAGTCTTCTGAACAGTTCTTTTTTCCAAATCTCCCTGCTTTATGAAAAGTCTCGGTTTCTGGAAGTGGTTGAAGGGTAACTGTATTGTGCAAAAGCTGTGCTTACCCTTTGCTGTAATTTCTTACATTTCTGAAGCATGGTACGTTGCCCGTAGAGCACTCTGGGGTGGAAGAGGCTACATAAATGTAGGATTACTGCTCCAAGGGAGATGTTGACTCAAAGTTTTAACATTGGTTCCTTCCTATATAAATTGCTACTTCAGTGTAAGCCACAGCAAAGAATCCTTCTGGTAAAGGATTTCAGACATTTTGAAATACATGGCAAGAGGCAGGGCTTCCAAAGCAGCGTCTTCGTGAAAGAGTCCTCTTCTGTTTTCAGTCCTGAATGAGTTTCCGAAACTAGAGTTGCTAAAGATTGAAGAAAGAACACTTGGCCAATTTTACACCAACTCTTTTCCTTTTGCAGCTTTTAGTTTGATGGATGAATTTTTTCTTTGCCAAGCTACCTACTCCCACAGTAACCATGCCACAACGCAGTTACAGCTCTGTTTATCCTCAGTAGCCAGTTGTACTGCTATTAATCTGAATTGCTTTGCAGGGAAGAGGGGGGTTAGAAGTTAGCCCAGACACCTCGGCATAGCTAGACAGATCAATGCTTTTCTTTTGCTTGCTCTATTTATGTATTTATTTATTTATTTTTATCTAGAGGCTTAGTTTGCAGATTGTGGTTTGGTTTGGGAACCTGGTTCTCCCTCTTAGTCTCAAGGCATTTCCAGTGTAGTCAGGAACCCTCTTGAAGTGTTCCCACTTCTGTTCCCTGTATATAGCATTTTTCTCATTCTAATTGCTTTAAACTTGGTTTAAATATTTCTTATAACTGCATTCTCACACTGGGACTTGTCTGACTCCTTCGGTAGCTGTCAAGTAGCTGTTCTGTAGTGTGAACTGGTTTGGGCACCTTTCATTTAGTCATCCGTTCTGATGGCCAAGAATGGACTACTACTTGTTTGGAAATGACTCTTTGAAGTGATGGAGAACTTAATTTTGAGAGTTTATCCTGAAGCCATAAATATTATTATTTGATTCATCAAGTTGATAGTATGGTGGAAACAGTTACCTGGCCTATTCCTAATATAAAAAGCTAAAAACATGTTTAATCTGAAACTTCCTTTCAATCTGTTGTATGGCTTTTTCCCCACTTCCATGTTGGTTTCTGAGATTTTTGGCTGTTTTTAATTTCTCTGTACCATAGTTTTTCTTGCTATTCTTATTTGGATGTTTGAAAAAAAGTGACAAAACGGTTAGAGTAAAACAGGGAAGCTCTTTGGCCAGATGTTGCTGTTAGGTGTGGATTTCTGGTTTATCAGTACTAATGTCTGTGTGAGAAATCCAGGACACACAACCATCTGTTCTTCCAATCCCTACAATGAATGTGGAATTTTCTCTGTTGACCATATGTTTTCCATTCCTGTCGGAACAGTAAAATGCATTTGAGGCAATTCTGGTCACTTTTTCTGCGTTAAAATTTTGAAGCATTATAATAGTGAATCTGAGAAAGCAGAGAATTGGGAAAATACTCATCGGCAGCTTAGGGGAAGAGTGACTCCTCAGAACCTGTCGTCTTATGTCAAATTGTAGTTAACTACATCTTCAGAATCCCTCAAAACCTCTTTGCGTGAATGCATGGGTATTTTTGTGCATGGTTGAGTTGGGAGGCATTGGGAGGCGGACATGTGGCGAGGAACTGTTCAATTTGCTTTAATGTGAGAGTATGTATGCCAGGCTGGAGTGAGAAATGCCACTGCTGGCAACAGGCGGGGTGCTGGACTGGGGGGCAGTTGGTTTTACTCTGCATGGTTTTTATTAAAATAAGAACGCATAGGATATCAGGGCAAAAACTTGGATATTACTTCATGATTGTTACATAATTCCTTGTTATGTATGAGTTCATGACCTATTGCAGACTTATAAAAAACCAAACAAAACACTCTATTCTTTCCTTGAATCTTCTTCAGTTACCCAGAGAAAACCCTACGTGCCCCATAAGAGCACTGCCACATTGCAAGCCAACCCGATGGCGTCCTCTACTGCCGTGCCTGTAGGATTTCACTATGAAACAAAATACGTAGTTCTCAGCTACCTGGGACTCTTGTCGCAAGAGAAGCCGCAGGAACATCCTCCTCCTTCAACACAAGGTATTATTTGCATATTCATCTGTACCTGTTTACGTATGTAACTGGATTTGGAAGTTGTTCTTCAGCTGTTTGTGAATGGATGCAGAATGTTCGCCTGATGTTCAGTGGAGTGCACCTCTTATTTTATTAATTTAAAATAATGGGAGGAGATGCTGATGAAGACAAAGCTGTTTGTATTTAGATTACTGTTTTAATTTGAGCTATGCCAGGGCCGATTGATGTTTATGAAGCAAATAAGTGGTTTTAGTTTGAGGTTAGGAGGGAAGGATGTGTATTATCTTTGTTGAGTCATCTTGAGAATTTGAGCCCATGCTTGCTTTTTTGGGGAGGCAAGTGGCAGTAAGCAGGGGTGAGGTGGTGTTCACTGCCCTAAACTCTGTGCGATGACTTGAGCAATCTCATGTGCTAAATAGTTTTGCCCTGCTATGTTAGCACTCCTGTTGGTGTCAGTCAGTGGTAGTGCAGAGATGGGAGGCTTAACCTGGCCTATGCTGCTTCTGGTTATTCATTTATTTTTAAGAAGTCAAGGACTGCATAGAGTCAGATGTTTCTTCCAGAGCAGGTTTATGCCTATAGGAGGTTAAATAAACAAAAAGGAGGCAGAATAAAAGAAGTTTGATAGATTGTGTTTCACATAAACCTAGGTAGTAAAACTTTCTTTATTTTGTGGTGGCAAGCACAATGTTGTTTGTCAAGATTGTTTCCACGGCTTGTCACTTCTTAATGGTGTTTCAGTCACTACTAGTTCCTCTGATTCAGAACGTACTCTGATGAAAGGCGTATTAAAAAAGAAAGACAGCCTTCAGAATCCTTTTTTTGAACAAGTGTGTAAGAATGCATACTCTGTCATTTACTGAACCTACCTGTCCTGAAGTGAGAAATTCCTGGAGAGAAAAGATAACGTTAAAGTTATGACAGAAATTATTTTATCAGTTTGGCACTAAGGCACATAGCGTATGCTGATTATATTATATATTGTTTATAAAATTAATCTTAGTATATTTAAGGTATATCTATTACTTCCACTTTGACTGCATCTGTAGTCCATGAAAGGAGAAGCACCTTAGTGCTGAGATGCTGTTTCATAAAACCCTTTGTTGGAAAATGTGCTTATTTTAGCGACAATGTCTCATTCTGAATATCCCGTCTGGGATAACTGTGCTGTAACTGGAAATGTGTTGAGCCCATATAAAGCTACAGTGTGGTAGAGTCTGCTTTGTTCTGTAAATGCAAGATTCAGAAAGGAAACTGTTGGTCTTAAAGCTTTTTTTTAATAATTTATCCAGAAAGCCTCTGGATAAAATAATTTTCCCTTTTAATCTGCCATACTGTTTCTCACTGTGTTTTGTAATGCCTTGGATGGACTTCAGGCTGTTATTGAATTAAGTGCAAATACTTTATCCTTCTGCTTCAGGATTTCTTTCATTCTTTCCTAACTCACTTTTCCTGGGGCTTTTCTGCTTTCCATGCTTCCAACAGCTTTCATTTGTCTGACAGTTACTTTTTAAAAATCCTTTCTCCTACTACTTTTCTCGCTGCTTGTAATCAAACAGTTGTTTCAGCTGCACTCCCAGGGTAGGTGTGGTAAGAGCCATGTGTTTTTATTGAAGTACTGTATGCATCTTCTGTGACTATTCAGTAGTTTATATATACGGTCTGTATCTCCTTGTTGTCTGGCACATGGCTGATGCCTGCTTGCGGAGAGCTGTACCAAAGCTGCCCTCTACGTGCTCTGTGTTCTCCCCTAGGGAGGTGGCGGGAGGAGCAGCAGCCCGTAATGGTTATTACCTGCCCTGCCTAATGCACTGCTGGAAGGTAGCTGGGTGTTACAGTAACAAGTGTGGTCTGAGAAACCTGGTGAGAACAGAAAACACGTGAAAGCCAGTAAATGAAAATGAATAGTTGTTAGGTAGAATCCCATCATGAGGAGGAAGCTTCTGGTTGTGGGAACAAAGACACAGGAGGGATAATAACAGTATGGCATTACATCGTGCTTTTCAGTGTGTTTTTTCAAGCACTGTCGTCAGACATTGATACGGTATCTTGACTGATCCCAGGTTTCTTTCGTTGCTGATTTTTGTGGCACTTTAAAACGTGGGTCAGTATTCTTTCTACTCTCTAGGGATGAAGGCTGTTGATTTATGTACTGAGAGGATTCTGATACAAAGTACTTGTCACTTCATCTTATTTTGCTTTCATTTGGTTATTGTGCTGACAGACCTTTCATGGGAAACAATCAAAGCAGTGTAGTTGCCGTCTCTATTTTATGTGTTTTATTCATATGGGGTATTGACTCTGGTGTATGGTGCTTTCCCTTCATATGTTTTTCTTAGATCCAAGTGAGTCCTTACTCTTTGTCTGATTTCTGTATCATCTAACAATATAGTGGGAATATCCAGAAAGGCTAGGTTTCGTTTGCCCTGGCAACGTTAACCTCTTTGTCTCCTTCTGTATCGGAAAGTGAGGGACTCCTCTAGAGGGCGGTTTGGAGCAGGATCCTAACTACAGCCACCTTGTATCACCCGCTGGAGGATCTTCTCTTTCCATTGCATGTATACAGAACGTGAGGAAGTAAGACACGCTCGGTGTAGTTAGTATTTCTGTGCCTCCCTCGAGTCTCCCAGGTTGCAGTGACATTTCAACACTCCAGTTAAACTAGAGATCGTATCTGATGGGTCAAAAAACCCAAGTAAAAAACCTGTCTTATCCAACAGGAGTGGTGCTATTTTATCTCTGCTAGAACTGGTAGGAGAAATTGAATGCTTTTATCTGTTCCTCTCCCTTTCCTCCTATGGTCATCTCCCACAAACCTCTGCTTTCCTGCATTTCATACTAGAGAGTTCTTTTTCTGAAGTAAGTGTTCAAAAAATTCAGATAAGACTAAATCTTCTAAGATATTTATTAGATTTCCAGTTAAAACTTCTCATTTTTTTTGTGGACATAATATGCTTTATAAGGTTGATGGTTTTCAGAGGGATTTTATTTAGTGAAGAGAAAACTCGGACAAATTACATAGAAAATTACCTTACTGTATTTCCTTTTGGATCTCTTGGTTGGTCTTGATTTTGTTGCAAGAAAGATGGCTTCAGTTACAAGTGCTAAAAACACTTCTGGCTCCAAGCAAAGAAGGCTGATCTAAGTCAGCACCTGATTACTACTTGGAAATTTTTATTAAGATAGCTTGTCTTCGGTGCAGGGACTGTACAGAGAACCAGCCACAGTGTTTCAGGGTCTTGAAGAAAACACAGTTTTACTGGACAAACCAAACTTTTAACATTACAGCTCTATAGCATTCTGTAGTTGATTTCAGTGTACTATTCTGTAGTGGGTTTCAGTGACTGAAGAGGAAAATCCAGCACATGTAACTGGGCAATAGTTTGAGAGATTATTCCTATTCCTATTACAGTTTTTGGCAGAATAGTGATTCTGCATAGCACTTGCTTCAGTTTGTTTAAAGCAAAGTCTGTTAGCAGTAAATTCTGTTATTTTTTGGTAGGTTTTCAGGTGGGTGAATAATACAAATTGCTCAGATAAATCTGATAGAACACACACGATAAGATATCAACTGCATAAGTTCATGCGGTTTGAGGCAGCGGATGAGTACAATTATTTAAAATGTGTGGAAGCTCTCAGTTATCTGTTCATTACATCGTGGAGAGATGCTTTAGTATTTTTTCAGAACTCTTGTAGTATCAGTATCTATAACTACTGGTTCATGCGGTTCATACAGGAAATGAATATCAAATATTGGAAAACATTTCTACATTTTTTCCCCCTGAAGTTCACGCTTACTGTAGAAGCTTACAGTCTGCTGCAGTTGTTAGTGCTACTTACTTTTTAAGTGAGTCAAAGTACTTTGTTTTTGTGGTTCAGTATATTTGTATTATAAATACTTCTTTGTGTTTCATCAGGGAGTACATTTTAGTGTATTTCTGGGTGGGTTTTTTTTATAATTTGCTTCCCCATGGTTTGACCATGAGCCTGTGGCTATAATGAAGATTGTGAAGGAAAGTAATTTTTCTGTGTTTTCCTTGACAGAACGAGGAATCTTAAATAATCCCTCAGTTCACATAGTGTCTGGAAGATTTATAATCAATGCCACTACAGCATGGTGGCATAGGTTACAGAAGGTGAACAAGGTTTTGACAGTTTCACGGTTTCCCTGAGGTGCTTTGCTATCCACAGTACTGTAATCCAATTATTGTGCACAATGTTCTTTTGACCATTTATTTTCTGTTTTGGAATTACTGTGTGAAGTTCTGTATCAGTCAGTGGTCACGGCATTTTACTGGTTTCCCACACGCGTTTCTTGCAGCTGAGCAGTGTTGAACTGGGTTACTGGGAGGAACAGGTTTTACATTTATTCGTTCACTTGCTTCGGTTAGAAGTAAACTTTGTTACATCTCAGGAAATACATGTACAGATAGGCAGAGATGGTCAGGTTTCATGCACTCTGGATGAGCTCAAGACTTCTTAGTGGACATCCCAAATCTAACAGGAGTACCTCTTATATGTATTTGACTGTCATGGGTTGGGTACCTGTTATTGTAAGATTTTCTGTCATCAGGTGTCACTTGGACTGGCTGTTGCAGAGTATCTTGGCTTTTATCATACTCCATCCCTGTATCTTCACTTACCCTTCATAGTACCTACTGTTGGTCTGTAGGAAATGATGGAGTTTTTGAGGTGGTTTTACCTTAGATGAATAACTCATTCCTTAGAAACTTTCCTCTTAGAGCAAAACATACTTACTTTGGCTGAAAAGGTACATCTTTTAGGTCAGACCAATCCAGTTCATGGTAATGAGGGAGCTATTTCTGAATGGAGGCAAGAAAAGGTAGTTTTTGGGATGTGACCTGGAGAAGTAAGAGGTGGTCCCTCCAGGAATGTGAATTCCCACTTAATTAAGCCTTCTTTCTGCCCACAAAAAAAAATAAATTGACTACTACTTGGCAGTGTCTTGGCTTTTTTTGGTTCTTAATATCTTTGACTTTTTAGTTTCTCAAGCTGAGTCTTCTTTTGGTTATAAAGAGCTTCTTTTAAACATTTCTCAAATAAAGGGCTACATCTATGTATGGCAGTCTGTGTTCTGGAGTTTGCTGGGGTAATGGATATAGTTTTCGTTAAAGGAAACAGATGAATAAGTTTGTAAAGACATTCTGTATGTTTTTGTCACTTCTCAGTGCTTACAGAAATTTTAGATGCTTACTTATTCTCATTGTTTTAAAAAGTCGGATGTTAAAGCAACACTAGAATCATGCTGAAAGTAAATTTCTAAGTCAACATTGACTATACAGAGGTTAATATAGAGACCTAGGAGAACCTAGAAGATACTGTTAAATTAAAATTACAAGCATGAAAGAAAAAAAAAAAATCAGGAGCACTCTGTGACAGCAATGGCTTTCTTTTTCATTCACCCTGCATTCACTTGAACTGAAAAGGCATAACACCTTTTCAGTCTCTCCTTATAGTTGCTGTTGTCGCTTGTTAGCTGTAGTTGTGCACAAACACTGTGAAGGCTCTCTAGCTCTGATGAATGACTTCCCATCCTTCCTCCTCTTGGGATCAAACCTGGGGAACGGGTTAATCTTGTTACTAAACTTCTGGAATGGCCTTATCAGCAGAGTTTTACTGAAGTATTAAGTATTAGTAGTCATAACACTGTCTGCTTCTCAGTGATGAGGTGCTTGGTGGACTTTTAGAATAATTTTTCCACTACTTGGCAGGTTACCTCCAAATACCTGAAAAACAAAGTCTTAACAAGAACACACTTGTGCAGAAGGGAATGTTTATTCCGTAAATAGAAAGGAGAATGCACTAACTTCTTCATGTAAGAGTGTGTAACAGAGGTCTGTTGTGTCTTTGGGTTGGGAAGAGGCCGTTCAGACTCAGTTTACCAAAAGCCCATAATAGACAAACACATTTTTTCAGCATAGGAAAGCATTCAATGTTTATGACTCTTACAGGTACCATTTCTGGTGTGACCATTTGCATTATTAAACAATGAAAATATGTTCTCATCTACTAGAAGCTATTTTTACTGTTCTGTTCTACCTACTTGCAAACTGACTTGGGAGTTCCAAAAGGAGAAAAAGATACTACTTGCTTAGGACCTTTGCTCTTGGAATACACTGTTCTCCAACACTGGGTGAAGTTTTTGTTGGTAGCAGTCAACATACAGGAGATGCAGAAAGCTGAAGTCCATTGATAATTAGAGGAATAAACAGTGCAAAGCCACCGGTCCGGGAGGGGTAGGTTTTTGATGTTTTGGCATGACTGAATAGTCAGGTGCTATTGGAATCAGCAGCTGCTGCAAAGTTGTGGGTGTTACGAGATGGAAACCATTGACTGCAGCACTGATTATCTAAACAGCTCTTTTGTACGCTGGCAGCAATGGAATTTCTCTTCCTTCCATTTTCTGCGTGACTTATTATCAAGTATGACAGCTTGTCATGTGTGATCATCATCACATTAGTCCCGTGAGAACGGGTGCTCTTCTGAATAACCTCATCCCTCCCGTATACAGGGTGAAGCACAGGTTAAAATAGGAGTTTGTACTTGCATGTACTTGTTGCGCTCGACTGTGAAGCAGTGGTTCGGTCATTCAAAGAGGCGACCTTAAAGGGACTGACAAGGCATTAGTGAGTGTCTGTTCTTTAACCAAAAGGAGGAACAGTTTGCTCCTCTCTGGAATTAATTGTTCAGATGGCAAAGAGAGGCTGTTTGAGGAAGGATTTAAGAAGCTAAAAAAAATTATTCTGAACATAGTGATGAAGATCTAACTGTGTGGTTAAGTAAAATGGAATTAAACTGACTATCTGCTATTCCTGTAAACTGTTCACGTAAATAAATGCAAACATTTTACACTGACATGTACATTGGCTTAGAAACATTTTGTCTCACAGGCATCTACTGAGTGCTGCGTTTTTAAGCATTAGCACAAATTCAGTGGATGGATTTTGTGGATTTTTAACTTCTTTTTCAAATGTAGGAGACCTTGCAAGCTTGTTGTCTAGTGGTTTTTTAAGTACAGAAAATGCACAGTGTACTTTTCTACACATCTGTGTGTGTTAACTAGTTATCATTGTTGCAGGGTTTTCTCACACTCCGATATGAAAACTAGTGATACTGTGTGTCCGTTGTGGAGGAAAGGGGAAGGCAATACAACCCTTGAAGTGAGTTCAAGCAGATTTAAATAGAGAGGAACCGAAGAAAAGAGGCAGTCGTTCATTAAGACCATCAAATTATGATTTAGTAGTGTCTTCAAAACAGGAAGGAAGACAGACATGCCAGAAAGTGTTGCAGGACTTACCTGACGATTTGGATGTGAAATGTAAGTGATGAGAAGGAAATGAAGTCAGGTGATACCAACATGACAGATATAAATCCTTTCCCTTTTTATTTTCTTCAACTGAGTGAAGAACATCTGTAGAGTGGAATGATGTCTAGATGCCCAGCTAGAGCTTAGGCCGTTGGTGTAGGTGCAGAAAGGGTGAGATAGGTTGGAGAGTCGTCAGTATTTGTGTGCATAAGCAAGAAACAGTGGACATGGGCAACGTTATAAGAAGGTTGGCCAGGAGGTGGTGTTTAAGTCATGGCCACGAGAGAACATGAAGTCCCAAAACAGAATTCTAAGGAATACTGAGAAGTAAGAGAGCTCAGAAAATGTGTTTTGAGTAACCCAGTCACTGATACTGTTGAAAGCAGCAGAGTGCAGGGCTAACGAGGACTGGTAATTGACCTAAAGCTCAGGGAAGGAAATGGCTGGAAGGGGGATTACTTAGCAAAGGGAAGTTTTGTGGTCAATTTTATTTGTTTATTTATTTATTTCAGGAGTGAGTTGATACAAAATTCACTTCAGTATTCATGTGGATATGAGAGATCTGTTTTATCTATAAGTAGAACATTTTAAGCAATTGAAAGAAAGGAAGAAGAAGAAAATGTCAGTGGTAGGCTGTTGACTCAGTGATGTTTGGTGAAAATAAGACAGCAGTTAATGGAACGGTTTTGTAGTGTGCTTTAAGAATGGGATTTGATGACATGCTTGAAAGCTGATGGAAGAAATAAAGATGAGCAAACCCAAGGAAAAAGCAGCTAAATAGCAAGAGTTTTGAGCTGGAACTCTGTCCCAGGCATGTAGTCTTTCCATTAGTACCCATCCCATGAAACAGTTACTTGAGTAATTACCTTGCCGTATGGCCTTATATCGGAAAGGTTGACATTCAGCAGGCAGTTCCTTAACGATTCAAATGTTTTTAAATACCTTGGCTTGTTTGGAAACAGTTTTGTGTCTCTGTTTTGCTACGGCATAATAGTTAAGATGATTGAGAGTCTATGTAATCCTGAATGATATGGGTGAAACAGCTTCTTGTTACCAGATATCTAGAGTCAGCACATGGGATGTGTATTCCAAACCACAGCATGTGTACTTCTGGGGATGTGCAGCCATTTCAAATTCCTAAATGACTTGATTAGGAGATGAAAATTGGCAATTGACTGACAATTGTGAGGCCCTTCGCCTCTACTGTTACTTGTGAACCCAGTCTAAAATTATTTCATTGTGGCCTGTAGTCTCCTATGAACAGCACAATGATGCACAATTAATAGATTTCGGGACTCTTCATTGATGTCATTACGTAGTTCCTCTGAGTATTTTTGTAGATTTTGCAGACATCCATATCAATTTTATATTTTGCTACTGAAAATCAAGCTTATACTTATGTCTGCTTTGTTTTGGTGTGGTTTGATAATGAGTGTATTAGTTTTAATGACTGCTTGTTTATGTGCCTTGGTTTGATTTTGGTTCTAAATTTAAGATCAGTTTGTTTTTAAAGCTGTTATATTTTCTGTTTGTGGTTTAGGGTTCTAATTTTTAAAACTATATTCATATTTAAAGCGCGTATTCTAGCTTGAATAAGCCTGGAAGTTTTATGTGTTTCTGGGTTCGTATAACAAAACATACAGTAAGTGACCTTAAAGGATCATACTTTTTATGTTCCTGTCTGAAATAGAACTTTCACCTTGAATTCCTTTATAATCAATACTATGTTCCATTACCTACCTTCTTTGAAATACTACATTTGAATAATTTCTCTGGTTTGCTTTAGGGACTCAGCAACAGCTTATGGCACAACATGCTTTGGAGAAAGAGGCTTTGGAGAAGATTAAAATAGAAGTCGAGGAGGAGCTAAAACATCTTGATGAAGAAATCTTGGAAGGTGCTCTTCAGATTTTCCCATTTCAATCAATAATCTGTATGCACTGTAATGGTGGTTAATTTGTAACAGGTACTCTAGTTAAAGAGACTTTTGTACACATTCAATCTCTTTACCCTCCTCCCCCACAAGATTTCTAGGTGATGTCACATGGAGTAAAATAGTTAAATGTTACCATTTGGAGCAGTGGAGTCTAGCCAAAGCAAACAATTGAATGAGATTTAATAGGTTACTATAAATAATGAAATGTAAGCAGCCCTTAAGCTGCTCCAGTTGATGACAGAAGTTAAATCATTCCTCAGCAGCTAACGTTCAGAGGGGTGTAGACTTAAACCATGAGATTTGTCACTTACACCAGGTTTATTTTTTGTGACCTGTAGATGTGACATTTATAGGACTCCCAGCAAGGGATGATTTGGAAACAGTCTTTGCTTTGCACGTGTGTTACAAATTGGAAATCTGAAGTGGACAGGCACTAGATCTGTTTACATTCATACATACAGACCATTCTTAGAAGTTTTAAACTGAGAAGGAAAAGGTTATATGAAAAAAAATATTTTAAAAAATGATACTCTAGTACTGCTGCAGATACGTCCATGTGTGGGCAAATTTTACCGTGGAAAAGAGGCTGTCTTGCTGCTCCATCAGAGTTGGCATCAGCTTAAAATTGAGAATGGTTACACATTCAGCTAACTTGCTGGTTAGGATACGGCTGTGAAATAAAGCTGGAGGGGAAATGTAGCTCCAAGTCATCTACGAATTTTAAGTACCACTTTCAGAATATACTTGGACCATTCTTGTTTTACTAGAATTTGTTCACAGCATGCTTTGACTATAGAGTTGTGATTTCTTCATCCCTCAAATAAACTGTGTTAACCGGTAGGATAAGAAATCTGAGACTGTTCCTGTTCTTATATGAATCCATTTTATTTTATTTTGTATACTTTTTTCTCTCAGCATTTACCACTACAGGATTTGACTGCCACACTTCCCCAGTGTTCAGTCCTGCCAATCCAGAGAGCTCAATAGAAGACTGCCTGGCTCATTTGGGGGAGAAAGTGTCCCAGGAATTGAAAGAACATCTGCACAAAGCACTGCAGAGCTTGCTTAGCAAGTGAGTTTCCATTTGCTTTTTCAAAGGGAAGGTGTTTCCTTTTGCATTGTGACTGCTGCTGAAATGCTAAAGATGAGACTACATTTCTGTTCCTTTATCTGGCTGGGTTTTTGTTTTGTGTTGTAATGAGCAAATACTTCTTTGTGGTATTTGTTCTTTGCAGTAATGTAAGTTCTAAAATTTTTCTCAGCTTTTATCATTGAACTTCTGAGATGAATTCAAGTAGTTTGAGTTGCTGGTGAAACTAGCAGCTGGCAGCTGCCAGTTGCCATTGCCAATTTCATGAATGCTGGGCTGTAGCCAGATTAATTTGTTTTACCTTATACTTAAGAGTGGAGCTGAAGGTTTGTTTGTAGTCTGGCTCAAGATGAGTGGGAGAGTTTCCCCGAAAGGCTGGTAGTTAGATGCTTATGACCGCCATTCTGGTACACATCTGAAGCAAATGTGGGCCCCTGGGCTAACCTTCATGCCTTAAGAGCTGTCCTGCCAGTTGAGGCTTATTGCTTAAATGGCACATTGTACTTGGCATGCTAGCATCTTGATTAGTGTCTTTTGTAAATTGGTAAAATTTTTCTAGTTGCTTGGTTTTCTGTTATAAGCTACCAGCTTGATTCTAACAGATCCACAGGAACTACTTCTGGCTGTTCTGAGTGACCTCCAAAACGCGTTTGTAGAGAGTTGGAGTTGGGAAGGTGCTACTTTAAGGACGGTTACATAAATGCAGTTGTGAAGGCAGCATTAGCAGATAGCTATTCGAGTCTATGTTTTGTGAATTGCTTTAAGTAATATGGCTCAAAACAAGCTGAGAATCTCTAGTGCTACTCTTTTGGAGTTTGCATAGCTGTTGTTGAACTGTTTGAACAACAAGGTACGGGAAGCCTAGGTATCAGCGCCTAGTGTAAACTTTCTGATGCCTGGGGCTTAAGCTTTCCATACATGCATTGGGGAGGCATCTTATGCCCTCATGAAGGTGATACCCTTTACAGCAGACTTTGGGAAGATTGCGAGTTTGGAAGCCATTCCATCTGAACGTCAGGAAACACCTTTTTACTGTGAGCCTGACTGAGCACTGGCACAGGTTGCCCAGAGGGGCTGTGGAGTCTCCATCCCTGGAGATATTCAAAAGCCATCTGGGCATGGTCCTGGGCAGCCTGATGTAGAGACCCTGCTTGGGCAGGGAGGTCGGACAGGATGTTCTCCAGCAGTACCTTCCAACCTCAACCGTCCTGTGATTCCTTAACTAGATCGATCTTCTATTCCTTAAGTAGCTCCGTAGTCAACAACTAAGGGTTGGCTTTTTATGACCAATATAATTTAAAACTGACCGTTGAAAGTCAGGTAGGACAGGGCTTTGAGGAACCTGATGTAGTGAAAGGTGTCCCTTCTCATGATCTTTAAAGGTCACTTCTAACCTGAACCATCCTATGATTCTGTGACCTGGCTTTCACAGCAAAGGTGCCATGTAACATCTGACCAGACAGATGTAGATGGTTGTCTTTTATTTTTTTCTATGAGTTATCCGAGGGAAAAGTACACACTGTCACCTCACCATTTAACTTTCCGAAACTAATACATACACTATCTGCCTCTATATGCAGTTTCTGTAGGGTCAAAAAGTAAGTTCAGTATTGTGAAAACTAACAATTATTTACCCACAGAAAAAGAGTAGGTGGGGTACAAGTTTCTCCTTAAGTGGCAAAAGATATGCTAGTGTTTTCCTCCAGAAATGGCAGAAGCTTATCTGCCTTTACAAGCCAAGCGTTTGTCCCATGTGGCCTTAAAAACTTGTACTTAGTATCTTCTGAAGAACTGTTTTGATAAACGCCTCACTACACACTAAAAACCCAGACTGGCAACAAGTTGGAAAATTAGAGGTACGCCTTGCAACCCATCCTTTCTGTGTGTCTGAATTGGTAAACTGAAATAAGAGCATTTTAAGTTTAAGTGTCTTAAAGGTTGTAGATAAGTGGCTGGCTGACTGACATTGAGGGGTCATAACAGGCACACTCTACGTTGATTCTTTTTTGGAAAGTTCCTGAGATGAGAGATTCAAAAATTAAGTGGTTCTAGCTTGTTAGTAGCCTGATGTTCTAGGCTTCTTCTGCATTCTATGGGAAAATATTTGCATTCTAAGTATTTTTTTTTTATTTATATACATACACACATCCATAAAGTCTGAAATGCCCATGAAAACGCGTTGACACACATGCCTTTTTATATGGCAAACTAGAGCTACTGTTTAATCTCTTGATAATATCCTTCCTGCAGCTGTTGTTGCTCTTCTCATCCCACTGATTCATTTGGATTTGCATTTTAAAGGAACTAATGTACCAAGGAAGTTAAGAGAATGCACTTAAAATGACAAACCCAAATTATATTTTCCCCAGTGTACTTTATTCTTTTACCCATATTTGCTACAGTAATGCTATTTGATGCAATACTTATTTATTTTTCTTCTATTTTCCTGTCCTTTTATATGCATATAAACAAGTATGTTATGGTACAGTAGCTGTTAGATCCTGACAGGTCCTTGGAGTTCGATAAGCAGTCGTCTGTCCAATACCAGTTACCACTGTTTCCCTTAAACTAAAGTTTGAACTTGCCTTTTGTCATGATCTGGCTCAGGACAACTGCTTCTGGACCAGTATGTCTTCTTCTGTCACTTGGCAGAAAGTCTTTATTGTCACTGACTCTAAGATACTCTATGATCTTGGAGGAAACACTATGGAAGAGAGGAATTTCATCATCCCAGTTCAGAGAAGCAGAGACACAATAAATCTAAAATAGAGATACCTACTGAAATATGAAGGGGTTTTTGTCATCAAAAGTGCTGTTTCTTGCAAATAAAGGCTTTGGCTCTAGCATAACTAGGGTCAAGCAGTCTGTGTTGATTCATGGCCTGTATTGTTTATAGAAGTTTTACTCTGCATTGGCCTTTATCTCACATATTAATTTCTTAGTTAAATTTTTTATTTCTTAGTGAAATATTTTATCTTTAAAATCTTAGATTATAAAAAATTGTATGCAAGCGCTCAGAAATTCTGATAGCATATCAGAGAACCTGCTTATCTAATGTCCTTTAAGTTGCAGAGTATCAAATTATTATGAAATTTGCTTAACCAATTATATGAAATTGTGTAACTGGGAGAAGGTTATGTCGTCCTGACCCTGTCTGGTGCTGGTGTTTTATGTCCTGAAATGCAAGATGTGTTAGCTCTTGAAAATTATTTGCTGTAATACATGTGAAAATTTGTTCTCTGGAAGCTGAGAATTTCATTTTATTCTTGTTCTTTTGTTTCCTTTTATAACTTTCAGTGTTGGTTTAACTTCTGCAGGCCGGTGACATATCAAGAATATCGAGAGCGCACACAAGAGACAGCTGCTCATGCCAGTGGATGGAACAAGGTACCAAATAAGTGACTTTCACTTTGATACCTGTCACATCTATTTGATGTCCGTAGTGTTTTTGCTAGGTACAGTTATGCTTCACAGAGGACCAAGAATAAAAAGAACCCACTTGTTTTTAGTATGGAGTAACTTTCACTCTCAGAATGGTAGATGTGGATATAACAGGTGTTTTTTAGATAATTTAGCTGGAAGTTATGTAATGGAAGTATTAGGTCAATCTTCCTTTAGTATAGTACAATGAAAAGTTAGTGTTGTTGGTTGACATAATTTTTAAAAAAATAATCATTGAACATTTTTAAATTCCCAAGACAGATTTATATCTTTAGCAGTTTTGTAATGAAATCTGAGACAGATGTTTTCATAATACTTCTCTACTGTTTCTTTGCCCCCATCTCAGGTTCAAAATATATGTTAAAAAAAGGTGCTAAACATGGTGAAAATAAAACCCGATAGTATCTTCACAATATTTAAATTGTTTGGAAAACATAAGGATGGTGTGTCTACCTGGTTTCAGGAGTAGTTATCTCTATTGATGTGAAGCTTCTTTTTAAAATTACATGCAAATCTGTAAATGATACGAAGTTTCTTTGTTAAAAAAAAAATAATCTGTAAATGAACTATCTTACAATAGTTTGAATGTAGAATGAGTAGAATTACTGTTGGCAGATGCATCGTTCATTAATTATTCAAATTCATCATCTTAATCATTCACTGGTGGGTTCAGCGGGCATCAGAAAAAGAATGAAATAGGTATTTGCAAATTTAATCACAAATTTAGCACTAAAATAGAACAAGAAATCTTTTTTCCACTCTTTGCATTTCTTCCCCAGAAATACTTTTCCTTAACTAGATTTCCCTGCTTACTTCAGAAACCGATCATCTAACCAAGGGCGTGGGCACTTTTAAAGCAGGTATTAAACATCGTTTGACAAGTTACTGCCCGTGGCTCCAGCAATTATAATTGGTGTGTGTGTGCTTTCAGTTTATCATCTTGTGATTCATAGCATTTTTGTTTAAACAACCATGAAATGTGATTATCAAGGTGGCTTAAGCTAGCACATTTTACTTTTCAGTTGGTGAAAACTAAAAACAAGCGTAAAACCAGTCATTGTGGCTCTGCTGGCAAGGGAGGAGGTGGATGGAGCTTGTCAGTTGCCTACTGCATCTCCGTATGCTATTGGTACACAACTCTTGAAGATACAGCCCAGGGTAGATGGATGAGCCGCATTTTGGGGGTTCATGATTCAGCCTTCATTGCTGCTGCATTTGTGCAGCCGCTGTGGCTAGTGGGTTTTGGTCCCCATCAGTTTGTGATTGAGAGTATCATCCAGAAGATGTCTTTGTCATCAGCTTTGCTTACCTGTTACATTTGTTGCTACAAAACCTACAGTCCACAAACAAACCAGAATGGAAATTTTGTAGAATAATGCAGCATCTGTTTGTGTTGTTTTCGTGGTAGCTTGATGCTTCAGGAAATAGCAGTTCCTTTAATAATACTTGTTTTGAGGAGATGGAATACATTTGTGTTGGTTCAATTTCCTTTTAAATTCTTTTATCATCTTAATCAGAATCTTATTTTATAACAGAAGAGATCTAGATAGCTTTCCTCCAACCTCGACCTGGCTTAATATTCAGTCTAAAGAAGAAGCTGTTAGAAAAATAATTTTCAAAAGTAGCTATAAATAGACATAGCGTTAGGTCTGATTAGCAGGCATACAGCAGCAAAATGAGGCTTTGCTGGGCTCAAGTTTGTGCAGATCTGGAGGATGTGTATTTAAATTGACTCTGTTGGGAGAACTGAAGCTTACTCCCTTTTACAACTAAATAATAACAAAAACTAGCTGAGCTAGCCGAACAGAATAGTAGATCACTCCCTGTTACATGCTCATGGCTGTTACATATCCTACAGTTTCTTGGGTGGAGCAGAAATTGAGGATGCACAGTAGCTGTGGCAGATGTCAAAGGGTTAAAAATGTGGAAATACCTTCCCACAGACCAAACTCTATGTGATCAGGGCTTGTGGTTTGATCCAGACTAGAATAAATAAAACAACTGAAGCTAGTAGCTGAAATGTGTTTTCAGTTACATGTGAGCTGCATCCCTTGTGCTCAGTGGCGGCATCTTACCCAGCAAGACGCTCTTTTTGCTTTCAGTAGCCTATGAACTAGTATATAAAATGTCACTTTAAATTTCTGAGCCTTTGCTGTTACAGGTATGTATTATTATATATGTGTGTGTGTGTATAAAAGCCCCACCTAATTAATATATCAAATGTGATGCACTTGGAGCGCCACAGCGATCACTTAAAGGCCCAGTATCTCTATGGCACAAAGCAGACTCAGAGTAGTCTTCGCAAATCTTCCTCGATGTTATGGGTGTGAGAAACATGGCATACAGGTAAGGGTATACTTCTGGGAGGTACTGGGTTGCCTGGCGGGCTAGTTGGTTGGAGGCTGAATGTGGACAAAGGCTTGGTCTGTCTGGTTTACAGTTGGGAAGGTGTCATTTTTAGTCGTACCAGTTTTCAAAGAACCTGTTCATTTTACAAGCATGAGCAGAAGGAAGACACTTCTAAATATAGCTGATATTTTTTTCCATGTAAAAATGTGGCTCTTTTCCAGAGTGCAATGGTGTGTTTGAACTGCTGAAGAGATTTGGTTAACTGACTAGCGCAGGGGATGTAAAGGAATGTTTTCAGTCACTAAAGCATGAATATCGATCTGAATGAGGAAATATTGCAGGGTAAACTAATACATAGGAACATCAGTTCTTTCATTCACATCCCACAGAAGCAAAGTTTACCCACAGACATTGGAAGTGCTGATTCTCTGTAAAAAAAAAAAAATCAGGAAAAGAAAATTATTTCATGTTTTTCTCATAAATTGTGATGTGAAAGTAATAGGTGTGATCTTGGATTCTGTAAAGAATAGGAGAGTCGTCACCTTGTATTTGAAATAAGGCTGTCATTAAAACAAAACCAAAACCACCTCAAACTTAAGGCAAATTATATTTCTGTATTAAAATAAATGTAATAAAAAATTGAAGTACTCCACTGTTGAGTTTTTATGCTTTTTGCCTAAAATTGAATATTGCAGACATACGCCAAAGTACATAATGCCACTATTGTGCATCAGATAAAAAGATAACAAATACTGATGTTGAGAGTCAACCGAAGTGGTCAGTAGGCTAACAGTCACCTTAATGTCCCATTTTTACTGATGAATGGAGCCAAAGAGTAAGACAGGAAAAACTGAAGGAATAATCATGTAAACAATTCGATGAATTTTATGTTGAAATAGTCAAAAGGTACGCAGAAGTGGCCATTACTTTGGATATCGCTTCTTCAAAGTCTTTGAAGACTTCTTTCTTTGTAATTTTTTTTTTTTTTCACATACATTTAAATATGTAATATTGTGCTATGGGATTGCAATAGTATAATTGACAGAAATCTTTCATTTACACAATCAGAAATCTTCAGATAGTAAAGGGGTTTTTTGTGATTCCCTGGAAGTTTTCTCCTGACAACTATTTTCTGGCATGCTGTGCTTGATACTGTGTATGTTTTTCTTCAGTCAAAATATAAATAGCCCCTAGCATTCCTTGCCTACTGGTGGAGGGAATTGCAGTTGCTTTGAATTGCTAAGGCTGTATTTTTCCTTTGGTCTAGTTAAATCTCATCACCATTCACAAAGCTACTCTTATGTACGGAAAACTGTTGTTGACCTTTATGGAAGTATGGTGAGGGTAATTTCTTTCATGAAGTTTGGGAGGGTGTCATGCAAACCTGTTCCTGTTCCTATTGCTGCCAAAGGTAGAGGTGTCAGTAATTCCAGCGGGAGAGGAAAAACAGGCATGGGACTAGGTATTAGAGTTTGAATTTGGTCCCTCGCTCCTGAGGCCTGCAGAGGCTTGCTAAATTTGGGAGGAATGGATGGATTAGAGGTTTAAGTTGGCAAGGAAGGTGGCAAGAATCATGTGCAGTATGCCAACATTTGAGCTCCCTTCATTTCCTAAGCAGCCTTTTTTGCCTTTGTTTCCCTTGCCATCAGCTTAAAGTAAATGTCAAATATTTTGAGATCTCAATGTTCATGCTGTCGTAGAGCTATGTGGGTGTGCCCAAAGCCTCTGAAAGATGCCTAGTCTTGACAGCATGCTTTTTCTTCTTTGATCCAAAAAGACTGAAGTTTCTTCTGACACTTACCTCACCTTAACCTGCTCATTTTGTTTGTGCACTGTAAGTTCACACCTCTTCTGCCTCCGAGTTGAGATTAATTACAAGAAACTCAAAAAAACCCCCACGGCTTTTAAAATTCAAGCACAATCTTGTTCCTAGTTAAGTGACTGCCGTGTTAACTGTTCATCCCAGAAGAGTGCTATAATCTGTCTGCCAGAGTATTGGACTCTCTCTCTCAGTTGTTAATCAGCTGGAACATCTTCAATTTATCAGATTACTGCCATTTTTAAGGCCCCATCTGTTTTTAGTGGTCCATCTCACTGTGACTCCACCATGGATTTAGTACAAATCTCAAACCCATCCTACTTTTCTATTCATCTTCCTCCAGCTTTGCATCCGGCAGTGTGATTTCTGAGAACAGTATGGAGGATATTTACAAAAAGAAAGTTAGGCTGAAGGAGGAGGAGACTGGGAAAGGAAGGAGGCATTTGGAGTTCAGTCTGAGCAGTAGTATTGGCCTGCATCTACCTTGTGCAGCTGGGAAACACTGTTATTTGCACAGCCGAATAGATGTGCAACGCAGTTGTCACAAACTAGGTGCAGTAAAACTTAGAAATATTTTTCTTTTGTATCATAATGGCGCTTTTTCAGATGCTAATGACTTCAATTCATGCCCATTTCCTGAACTTGGCAAACTGCTGCGTATAAACTTTGCCCAGAGGGCCACTTGCACGCTCTAGGAGAATAACTTTGGAGTTTAAAAGTTTAATTGCATGTTGTTTAGGCAAACAAAAATAGCATTTCAAAAGGAAGTGTCTAGAACTCTGTAATACGAAGGAGGTGGGTTCACAGAGTCTTGTATCTTCCAGAACAATTCACATTTGGGTTAAGGCTGAGCATTCAGTTAAAGACTAAAGGTTTGGAAGGAAGAATGGGAGTAGGAAATGAGGAAGGGAATTCTGTACATGTTAAATTTGGCATAGGAGGGACAGTTTAACTTGGAGAGGGGTTTGTGTTTATCATTTTAAACATGTCTGTAACGTTATGCTGCTGGAGAAGTGTGTTTCTGTCTTACCTGAAAGCCAAGAGTGCCTGGTGCAGTGTAGCTATTCAAGAATGTATACGAGTTTGCTGTTTAAATACAATTTGGATGCATATCTCTTCAAACTATTTATAATGTTGCCTCTTTCCACTTCTGGGGTAGCAAGTTCTGGACCTGTTCTGCTTCTTTGACTGAATCTTGTGTTGGACAAAAATGAGGCTTAAGCAAGCACTGCAGTCCTGTTCTGTGAAACTCAAGTTGGGCTGTGGTGTTTTGCTTATCAGGTTAAGTGCTTCTTTCTTACTGAATTGTATTGTGTTCCTGCCTTGAGTCTTCACAGAAACGAAGTGTATGGTCCCCGATATCTTTGGACTTGTAGATTCAGACCTTTTCTGTGAACCTCATGAATTCTTTTGTTTTACCTACACAGTAGTATTGATAATGCTTTCTGTATTTATTCACAATTCTTGTTTTTTGAAGGTCTTGGTCCCCCTGATTCTGCTACAACAATTTCTGATGGAGTTAACCAGACGGGGCCAGGAACCACTGAGCGCACTTGTGAACTTTGGGGTGACATATCTAGAAGACTATTCTGCAGACTATATCATTCAACAAGGAGGATGGGTAAGACAACAATGTTTACTTTTCATACTTTGTTCGAAGCTTGTTTCTGAGTGTGATACCAGTCTTAATAGGAGTGAAAGCTAAGAAGGGTTGCTAGAAGTAAGCAGGTAAGAGGAGATGTCCCAGAAAAAGTAGGAAAAAAAAAAAAGCAGGAGGTCAGGACCATATAGTTGGAAAGGGATCTTGGGCAGTCATCTATTTCACCTCTCTGCCCCAAGGCAGAACTGACTTTTACCCATTCATTTCGGATGTTGACATTAAAGACCGATGTGATTGGACTCCACAATTTCCCCAGGCAGTCTGTTCCAGTTCTTTGCATGTCTGGTTGGTTGGGTTGCCCTTGAAATTGAAGAGGTCCTCAGATGTCAAATAACAACTAGTTTTCATACACTGTGTGTTAAGATGCTAATTTGTTGCTATGTGGTGAGCTTTTGTTTGTATGTTCTTTCCTGTTAATATACGTACAGAACTGCATTTAGAAGCAAATGCCTGTAACAAGAGAGAGTGTGCCTGAGAGGCTTATCTTTTTAATATTCTCTTCATCCTCTGGTGACTGCTGGAAATGGTATATGGTGGTTTTTTCCCCTTAAATTTTACAGGGTGTTTTAGCAGATAAGTAATTGGGAAGGACTTCATGCAGAAATGTCAGGAGGTACTAATTTACTTTTATAATAAGTGATAAATGCATATTGGATTTTATAGCTGTATAGGAACATGGATAGAATGAGCAATCAAGGTTTCTTTGTGCTGCATTTCCTTGTGGAAATCTTCATTCATGGTAACCAGTGCTCCTGAGTCATGGCATGCTGAGAAAGTTTCATTTAAAAATGCATCACAGAGGCAGCTCACAGCCGATGAGCTGGGTCTTGAAGGCTGAGCTTTAGATTACTGGGTTTGGGAAGGATGCCAGATTTGAATGGAATTAATCTGGGATTAGTGAAATGGCTCCAGCAAGTTGATTTATACTAAAAAGAAAAGCTGTCCAGGAAAACCCAGTGATTAAAAAGTGCTAGTAGGAAAAATCTCTCGCTCAGACAGCGTCTCATATTTCAGGACTTTACCTGAAGTTTTTTTTTAAGAGTAGTTGCAGAATTTCTGCCTTTCTGCGCCTTTCTGTATCCTTTCCCTTCCCGGCAATCGTGCATAATAGTTTTCAAAGCCTTTGGGAGGGATTGTTTGTCTGTAATGGACAGAAACATTAACAGCATGCAGCCAGGTGGCCTTAGGTCATTTGATAAATGCACTCACATTTCAAAGTATTTTCATCACAGGGAAGGTCCTTACTTGCAGCTTTAAGACGGATGGATATTAGTGCTATTTTGCTTTTCTGCGTATTTTTTTTAAGCTTAGAAAAGGCTGCGGTCTGTTCTCTAGCCCCTGTTTGAGGCCTGCTATAAACATCCTTAATACAGCGCAAAGCCTCTGAAAACGAGCAGCTTTCCAGCATGGCCTCCAAGGGAGGGGGCCGTGCTTTGTGTTTGTGTGACTGGGCATGGATGTACAGATCTGGGTAGTCGGTGTTTAATGGGCTACGAGCTTGTCTGTATACATCCAGTCAGGCATAAAATCAGACTGACATAAGCGGTACAGCAAACAAGCCAGAGCTATTTTTGAAACAGCAGAAGAGGCGAGGAAAGAGACAAGGTGATGAAAATCCTTTCCAGCCGAATTAATGTAGCTGCACTAACCCTTTGTGAGTTGCTCTGGGGATGGGGCTGAGGACCTACTGGGCTTGTGGCTTTACGTGGAGGAACGGAATATATGGTTTTATTGTTTGTTTGTTTTTCTGTAAGGAAAATGTTCATTTTTACCGAGTGGCATGTTTCTCGGCTTGTTCCCAGTCTGTGGGATGGTGTTCTGGCGATGGCAGTGCTGGGAGCGGGGCGTGGGGTAAAGGTGGGAGAGTTTGTGTTTCTGAGAAGAGCTGGGGAAGAAGCGCCTGGCAGGCTGTTAGCCATCACGCAAGCGTTTTGCATTTTTTAAGATAAGCATCTGCCACAGAGGCTCTGTGTGCTGGCTCAGGCTGTCAGTAATACTTCGCTAGAGCCATAAGGGCAGTGTATAAACCTGTGAGTCTCCAGTGAATTATGTTGCTGTGACAGCAAGAGGTTCAATTTTTGTGTTATTCTGGAGTGGTGTGAAGATAGGTATTTTCTACAGCTGCTAAGAGCTTATTTAAAACTGAGAAGATACCAGAATAGCCAGTCTGGGGTTTTTTTGTGGATCTGGAGCAGAGGAAAGCTTCACAGGAGTCAGCTTTTCAGGGGCAGACGTGAAAAATTCTGTAGTGTCTCTGGTGCTGTCTCTTCCCTTGGCACCACGTAATTTGGGATCTTCCTCAGTTTTCGGATTGAAGTCAGCCTTTGCCAGGAGGGAAGTAGCCAGTTGAAGGTAAGGCGTCAGCTGAGCCCTTCCTATGCCCCACTGCGGATCTGTGGAGTCAGGATTTTACAGAGCTGTGTCATCCGGCGGGACCACTTGCTGTGTCATGCTGTGCAGCCACGGTGCGGCTAGAAGAGCTCCCAAGGTTCTGCGGGTGTGCAAGGCTTCAGGTTGTTTTGTGGGCTCGGGAGGCTTGTAGGTCCAGGAAAGCATCTGATTGAGGATGGTGGACAACTGTTAACTAGAAGCAAAATTGCTAGCTCAAGGGAGTAAAGGTTGATAAATTGGATAACTATGCAGTAGATTTCATGGCTTGTGAGGAATGGGAAGTTTGGGATACTAGAGGTAAAGCCTCCGAGATGAGAAGTCGCTTTTTGATTTTTTTCATCCCAGACCTGCAGAGATATGGTGATGAGAGGATGTGTTGAAACAATGGGTGTTTCCCTCCCATTCTCACTTCAGGCACTAAAACTGTAATTTGGCTAACGTCTCATGGTAGGTGGGACTGGGGTGTAATGGTTGGTTGGTCAGTGAGAGAATGGCTGGGATACTTTTACGTTCAAGCGCATACAATGTTTTGATACTGTGATTCTGGCCATTGTATATGCTGTTCCCCTTGGACTGTTTTGTTGCTTTAGGAAGAAAGTCTTCTGAGTAGGAATGTCTGCAGTGGCCTGCATATTGTGTTTGGATGCAGCTGGCAACATAAACATGAATGAAGAGATGAAATGACTGCTCCATCTAGCTTACGCTCTCATAGATTTGCAGGTAGATGCAAGCTTAGTTTGGAGGACTGTAGGAAAGCAAGCAAATCTTACTTTCTTCCGGACAGCCTCCCTCTTTCGCTAATTGCAGTGACAGGTTTGGCTACTGCTCTTTACGTTTACCCTGCTGACTCTTTAAGTTTTAGTATGATCTCTCTTTTGGAGCAAAAAGCGTGTTTGGCATTCCAGGTTCTCTAAACAGACACATGTGGGGCCACACATTTCTTCCTCCTGACTCTCTGTTTTGAATCCAAATGGTCATACTAAGATCTTGTTCTCTTATCATCTTGAACCATCGCAAACCAACTCCCAGCCTGATTTAGCAATAGCTTCATTCTTCTCTTTCCCAAAAGCAATGTTAGGGCTCAACAAACTGACATGCAGTTGTACATGCTCTCCTCTCCCCTCCCCTTTCCTCCTCTCCCCTCCCCTTTCCTCCTCTCCCCTCCCCTTTCCTCCTCTCCCCTCCCCTTTTTGCTCTGTCTGACTTCTCCAGGGCTGAATGCTGCTGCATCAGAAGCAATTCTTGGTCTCCTGGAAAAGTGCACAGTAAGGCCAGTCAGTTGGTAAGGATTTTTTCCTCTTCCTTTCCCACCCCTTCTCGCAAATAATTTATTTCTTCTCAAGCTGTGCGGATCCTGTTTTCCATGGTTAGGTTTCATCTATGTTGAAATAGTCCGGGAATGTCTATAAGGAGGAAGAAGTGTAAGATTACTTGGAAGCTAGCTGCTTTTTTTTCCTCAGGTTCACATTCACGTTACAAGCCCATCTGCTTTTCGCTTGTTTGCAAGAGGTGAAATAAGTGCATGCAATCAGTGTTTATCGGTACTCGGCTAATAACCTTTCTTCTCTCAGTAAGGGGCCAGTATTTGTGTTTGTGACCTGTAGCTGAAATTGTCTCTGCCTTCCCTGGTTCTTGTGATGTTCAGATCTGGATTTGAATTTAACTAGTTATTTGCCTGTGTTGAAGACAGTAAATTTGCTTGAAATATACACAGTGTTTACAGTTTCTTATCCCAGCCTTAGAATCGCAGTTCTCTGTTTCCAGTGTTTTGTCTTGGGCTTTTCTGCCGGTTTTGACATTTTCATTGATTGAATAATCTACATACTAGAGTCTGTTAACGATCTGGAGGAGAAAAAGAATAGAGACACTTGTCATCCTAGGGAAGCGAGGCAGTCAGTTTGGCTACTGGAGATTAAAATCTCCTGCAGCAGCAGTCCAGGTGTCTGCCTTGAGAATGACAATGCAGAAATACAGAGACGTGCTCCACTGGAGGAGAGATAAGTTTAATATGGTAGAGTTGCAAGAAAAGGCAATCTAATTAGAGCAGTCCTAGAAAGGAGATTTCCTTTCAAAATAATTATACTTTACACTCATATCATGGAACGCTGCAGTGAAACATCCACTTTTATTTTATGTAACTTCTTTGGTACAGTAATAGATATTTTTATTTTTTAGGCACTGTGGCTGAAGGAGAAGCAACTTAAATGGTCAAGGAGCAACTAGATCTCCTTTCTTTTTTCCCTTCCAACAACTTCAGATTGGTCTGTCTGAAGACATGGTCTCTAAATAACTGAATTTATTTCAATTTAAACAGATAAGACTGAAACCTCGGAGGGTGTTGCTTTGGTGCTGACTGCAGGTAGTAGAGGTTATCTTGGAGGGCAGGGGAAGGAATAGGAACATTTCTGCAGGCTGTTCTAGCCAAAGCATGCCTTGAAAGGGGATGAGAACAGTGTCTGCAATACCAGTGTGCTTTGATTTGGTTCACACAACCTTTTTTCCTTTTTTTTTTCCCCCCCCCCCCCATAATAAAAAGTGCAGTCCTATTTGTGGACTCTGCTCTGTTTTTC